TTTCTGCTCTGAAGGGGCGAGGTTAAGAACATCAAAGATTGCAAGGTTTTCCTCGAGAAACCTCTCAGAAGTCAGCACCAGCTACTGGTCATAAAACCTTTTTCAAAGAGTTCATTAAAACAATGAGTGCGTAGACAGCCCTGAAAATACAGTTGTGAAAACTCGACGAGAAGCGGAAAGAATCGTTCAGAATGAAAGATATGAAAAAGTAACAAAGAAAGACTGTAACAGGAAAGTGAATGAAACATGGGAGAGGATGGCCGGCACAATCATTTCCAAATACCAGAGGTCTAGTGGGAGAAAGGGAACAACACACATTCAGAAACAAAGGTGGTGGTGGAATGCAGATATTCAGGCGACCCTTCGACAGAAGAAAGAGCTATTCAAGAAATGGGCAACTATCAAACAGAGTGGAAGACAGAGTAAAATATACCGTATCAAAGAGGGATGCAAAGAAAGTCGTCGTCGAAGCAAAATCTACAGCGTTGCAAGAGCCAATATGAGAAACTGGCAACAGAGGAAGGGGAGAAAGACATCCATCGCATGACAAAAGCCCGAGAAAGAAGAACAAGAGACATCGATGAAATGAAGGCATAAAAGACGAAAGCGTAATGATGCTGACCGATGAGAAAGATATTCGCACCGATGGCGAGGGTACTTCCAAACGGTGCTAAACGAAGAACATCCCAGAGAGGTCGCGGAAGAGATCCCAAAAACCAGGGCCTAGTCGAAAAGATCTAATCGGTGGAAGTGGAGCTTTGTGCCTTGAGCAGAATGAAAAATTAAAAAGCTCTTGGCCCAGACGGAGTTCCCATAGAAGCATAGAAAGCATTGGGCCAGGAAGGCGTGGTCTGGCTCTGCGCACTATTCAACAAAATTACTGAATATGAGAAAATTCCAGAATCATGGAGGCAGAGTATTTTGATGCCAACATACAAAATGAAAAGGGATATGACTGCTTGTGAAAACTACCGGACAATTAAACTGCTTAGTCACGCCATAAAGATATATGAGAGGGTATTGAAGAAAAGACTGATGAAGGAGGTCTACATCACCATGAACCAATTTGGCTTTATGCCAGGCAGATCAACCACGGATGTTATCCTCTTTTCATGACGAGTCTTCGAAACAGAAAAAGAAGGCAGAAAGACGTTCTCATGGTGTTCCTAGACCTGGAGAAAGCCTTTGACCCAATCGCGAGAAAAGCAATCTGCTAGAGCGTGAGAAAGAAGCTTGTGCCTGAGAAATGTCAGGCTTACGAAAGACATGTACGACAGAGTGGCAGCGATAGTCCGAAGCACATGCGGCGAAACTGCACAGTTCCCTATATGAGTAGTAGTCCACCAAGGATCCGTATTGAGCTCATTTCTGTTCTGGCGACAGACGCGATAACTGAGGATCCGCAGGAACCAATCCCATACTGCGTGCTCTATGCAAATGACCTTGCGCTATGCAGCGAAAGCAGAGAAGGTATATAATCAAAAACTGAGGCATGGGGAACAGCTCTTGAGAAGAACGGCCTTCGACTTAGCAAAAACAAATCAGAATATAGTGGAAACAGGGAAAGGCGTGCCTCAGACTCAAAAATCAACTACCTTTGTTTCATCGTGTAAGATAATATGGAACGAGGTAAGAAATGGGTCAGATAAAGCTGAGCTCAAATGGAAAGAAGAGTGGAATACTGTGCGACAAGAAGGTGCCCAAAAACTGAAAGGGAAGGTGTACAGAACGACAGTAAGACCGGTTGCTTCTGTACGGAATATTTGGCTACCCTGAAGAGACATGAACAACAGCTGTACTCGATACAAATGCGAATGCTCAGATGAATGTGTGGTGTCAGCTGAAATGACCACATCCAAAACAGCTTCATAAGAAGCACTCTAAGCAAAGCACCAATTTCAGAAAAGCTTATCGAAAGCAGGCTCCGTTGGTTCGGTCACGTGAGAAGAGGACCCATCGAACACTTTGGAAATGTGGCCCAAGCACTGGTAGTGTCAGGGAAGAAAAGAGGTGGAAGGCCGTAGAAATGGTGGCGCGATGTCGCTAAGAAAAATGTGAAACTTCGAGAAGCCACTGAAAACGTAACCAATGACAGAAAGATGCGTAGGAGGTTGATTGGATTACCGGACCCCGGTTAAAGGGAACATGCTCGGTGTCTGCACAAACTCTGAGTCGCGCTAAAGACGGTCAAATCATTTGTATACAATCGTTATGTCATGTCTATCGTCAGACGTATGCAAAAGTTCATAAGAGGACACTGAGCTTCTCTTGAATGCACAGTTTGTAGCGCATATGCCATGATTACCATGGCGATTGATAGTGATGCGCCATATCGGGCTCCATGTTTTCCTCATATGTCAATTTAGATGGTTATCTGCTATTTATGGCGTT